ACATAGAGTCGAATTAACCATACAATAAATAGGAAAAAATAACAATGAATCCAACGAGCAAACCTGAAACACAAACCCTAGTTTTTTGGAGAAGTCTACACAAATGACAAAAGCCTCCGACGGAGAGAGAATTGGGTAGACCTGCAAAAACAAAAACAAAAAAATGAATATTAAATGGATTTACCAAAATGTGAAGAAGATGCATACATTCATCACGAAAAAGAAAAGGTGTGATTGGTGGTGATTTCGAGCAAGAAAAGGGTGTGTAAGTAATCGCCCTTCAACACTAACGAACTTTAATACATTGGGGAAGTCTACAAATGACATAACTTAGATCGATTTTGCAATTTATATGAGAATAAAATGGTAACTTCAGAAAGAGTGAGGGAAACAGATGATATGGTGTCACACCCATGAGGTTAGATACGTAATAAGGAACAATGAGTATAAAATAACCGGGCTAAACACGTATCAATGTTTACACTGAAGAATACTTAAGGCACTATGTGACCGTAAGCCATCTTCAATGAGTAGAAACAATCAACCAACCTAATAAATAAAGGTGCTTGTTTTTAATATGATGAGAAAGAAGAGGGTCACTTTGCTTCGCTTCGCTTCGTTCGTTGGAGGGGGCAAAACTCAAACTTTCATAATGTAGTTGGGCCTCCAGTTTGTTGGTGGGCTAATGGATCCTTATCAGGCCCGAGGCTCAACCCAAATCACCTTCGGTTAACTCCCTATCCAGTTTCCACACCTCTCACGCACATTCCACCTCTCATGGCGTCTTCCTCTCTAACCTCTCTCTCCTCGATTCTGAATCAGCAACACTGCATAAACCTCCACAAACGATGCTCAATTCTGACCGTCAGATTCTTCTCTGTGAAGCCACGCCGTACTTCTCCCGCGTCCTCCGCTCTTGTCTACTGCCGCCGCCACTCGCCTGTTCCGACTCCCGCTCCGGCTTTCTCTCACAGGCTTTCCAGAAGCTTCTCCCAGTCGCAATCTCCGGTTTCCAGCGCCGGAAAGTTCTCCGAAGCTCCTAGCCTCCATCATTTTATGTGCAAAGCCGCCGTTGCCGTCACGGATGCTGGCGTCTCGGATCCGCAACTTGAGCAAGTGTATGTTTGTGTGTGTTATCTGTGATATTCAGTCTAATTGAATTGTGGGATGAGGCGAGGTTAATGATATCATCAACTGAAGAGCACTTAGACATTTGATTCCCGTGTAACACATACAGTGTAAATTTGATTCCCATCTTATTTTCATTTGTTTGTTATTACATCTTCATGAATTTTCTGTTTCTAGGGAAGAAAACGTTGACACAGACGGAGAATTAATCAAAATCTTCTCCACGAGTAGGGATAATCTTTAGCTTTCTGAAAATAGGAAGAAAGGTGTAGTTCCATGATTCATGTTTCTAGTCATGAGTCTCATGTATTGTTGTGGTGTTGACAGCTGAGTAATCAATCAAGTGAACCCATTAATTTCGTTTGTTCAATGTACTGCTCACTTTCTCATTAACCTTGTATTATATTATGTTTGTTTGCTTAATCCTTTTATTTATCCAGCTCAAATACTGTATCCGATGCTCTCCCAAGAGGCCGCATATACCATGAGACTTATGGATGCCAAATGAATGTCAATGACATGGAGATTGTTCTATCTATCATGAAGAATGCTGGATATAGTGAAGTAGTGGAGGATCCCGAGAGTGCAGAGATCATATTTATAAACACGTGCGCTATCAGAGATAATGCGGAACAAAAGGTATGGCAGAGGCTAAACTATTTCTGGTTTCTCAAACGGCACTGGAAGAGCAATGTAGCTACTGGAAGGTCACACTCTCTGCACCCCCCAAAAGTGGTGGTGCTAGGGTGCATGGCCGAGAGGCTGAAGGACAAAATACTTGATGCAGACAAGATGGTGGACGTGGTCTGTGGGCCCGATGCTTATCGGGACCTTCCACTTCTTCTCAAAGAGGTTGACTCGGGCCAGAAGGGGATAAACACGCTCCTCTCCCTCGAGGAGACATATGCAGATATAAATCCTGTGCGCATATCAAAGAACTCCATTAGTGCATTTGTCTCCATCATGAGGGGCTGCAACAATATGTGCTCGTTTTGCATAGTCCCCTTCACTAGAGGTCGGGAGAGGTCTCGACCCGTGGAGTCCATCATCAGGGAAGTGGATGAGCTTTGGAAGGAAGGCGTTAAGGAGGTCACCCTTCTCGGGCAGAACGTGAACAGCTATAACGACACCTCAGCTTCTGAGGAGGTCGAGTCCGGGACTAACTGGAAGTACAGTGATGGGTTTTCCAGCATGTCCAAGGTCAAGAATATGGGTTTGCGTTTTGCAGACTTGGTCGACAGGCTAGCTGCCGAGTTCCCGGAGATGCGGTTCAGATACACTTCCCCTCACCCGAAAGATTTTCCCGATGAGCTTTTGTATGTCATGCGGAACAGGCATAATATCTGCAAGAGCATCCATTTGCCCGCGCAGTCGGGAAGTAGTACGGTGCTGGAGAGGATGCGGCGGGGGTACACACGAGAGGTGTATTTGGAGCTTGTCGAGAAGATTCGTGGAATAATACCTGATATGGGGATAAGCAGCGATTTCATCTGTGGTAAGTTTGTTTTGTCACGTTCAGTTGGGTTTCGTAATTCCTGGGATGAGTGGGGTAATACTGATCACCCTATTTTGTATGACTTTGTTATAATAACAAGTTGGGACAAAATATATCTGAAAGTAGATTTATTTATTTTATGCTCCCTTGATGATATTAGTATAGTCGACCTCGTTAAGTGACTTAAGTCCTGCTTTATTTATATGAATGTATGTATTAGGCATAAGCAGTATTTTCCTGTTTTCTGCATGACACTCCTGCTTTCACATTTTTATGTTTCTCGTCATAGTTACATACCTTTTCTTTTCTTTGCTACTTCTACCATCTTTTATTTGTTAATTCAACACCTCCCGTTCTGATTGGTCCTTTGAATTTTCCTCTGAGTATGGCGTTCTGTTTGAAAAGTAACCATTATATGATTTTTTACTATCCTGCTGTTAGCATCAGTACCATTTTGTTTAATTTTTGCAGTTGTTCCAGATCCAAGTCCCTAGAAACTTATTGCTGCATATATTGAACGATATTCCTTTTAGTCCGGCACATAAATAGCACTTGTCTGTTCTAAACGTTGTGTGTTTTTCTGATTCCTATATGCTACTTTCATCAACTGATAATGCAACATCCTCATGGTTTTTCGTAAACCACAGAACTTTTATCTTTTATCTTTCTAAGTTCTCTGTGGCATTGTCCAGCAAGTAATAGAATTGATAAAATGGAACATCAACTAACTACTAAGAGAAATTCCTTTTCAATTATCTAATTTGTCAATGTTGAGCTAACAATTGGGTGTTCAATTCTCAAGTTATCATATACATTTAGTCGCAACTAAATGCACAAACATCTACTTCTAGAAACTTCTGCTCACATAGCATTGTTGATCGACAGGTTTCTGTGGTGAAACAGAGGATGAACATCAGGACACATTAAGCCTTATAAGAGCTGTTGGTTACGATATGGCCTACATGTTTGCCTACAGCATGAGAGAGAAAACACACGCCCACAGAAACTATGTCGACGATGTACCTGATGGTGTGAAACAGAGGAGGCTAACAGAACTTATCGAAACTTTTCGCGAAACCACAGGTCAGTTTTACGACTCCAAAATTGGATCCGTGCAGCTTGTGTTAGTCGAGGGGCCCAATAAAAGAGCACCTAAAACGGAGCTCATTGGCAAGAGTGACCGAGGCCATAGGGTCTCGTTTGCTAAACTACCCATCCCGGACAAAATCAACAATAATGTTAAGCGGAATCCAGAGATTGGCGATTTTGTGGAAGTTCACATATTGAGGTCCACTCGGGCATCTCTTCATGGTGAAGCACTTGGTATAACTAAGTTGAGCTCGTTTTATGCTGATGTGAATGAGGAACCTCTTGCTTGCAGTAGTGGTGTTTAAAACAGTTGAGGTAATTTTACTTTTTTTTTTTTTTTGAAAAGGAAATTCAGTGAAATGATATTTCGTAGTTGTGTGTTTGCTGGAATACAAAATTGGTTACTTCTAGGACAGAGCTCACTGTTGTTTTTGGGTGGGAGGTCATTTCTCGAGGGGCTTTAGGGAGTGTTTGCATTTACTTCTGCCTTTATACCAATGGATTTATAGTAGAAAATTTTGAAAAATGTTGTAGGACTCTAAGTTTATTTTATTAGCCTATAGAGAAGTCACAAGTTGAGGATTAACGAGTAGCGGTTGTTAATTAAAATATTTATACTTTATTTAATAAAAAAAATAAAGTTTTTATCTTGAATTTTATTGTTTCTAAAAAAAATGCATAATTATTTTGTTTAATATGACACCCGTCACTATAAGATTGCTCGTTTTGTATCATAGTAATTTTTATAATTCATGTTATATAATAGGATTGGTTAATAAATTAATTTATTTAACTTACAAATAATAATTTTTTTCCTATTAGGATGGATAGATAATTTAATTTTTATTTGTTAAGATTGATATATATATATATATATCTTATTCTCTTATCTATAAAAAGAAGGGGTGAGCCTCCAAACCTGACACATGTCTACCTTAAATAGCTGACGTGTGTCCAATTTAACTTCAAAACGACAGTGTTTAGATTTCATTTAACATTAATTGAAACAAAAATGAGTTCTTTTACTTCCATTAAAAACTGAGGCGGATGTCTCGAGAATCCTCTCGGACTCTCACAGCTTATTTTCTGAAACCCTAACTGCACACCATTCAACGTGGAACCTCACCAGCCTTTCATACCAAAATTGGCATAGGTATTATTTCTCCAATAATCGGGAAAAAATCAAAGTTACCCGCCATTAATCGTCGTATCAGAATCTTATTGATTGTTTGAATACTCGCCATGTTTTTGGTCAAGATAAGAATTCTATGGCCCTTTACTTTGTTCTGTGGGTTTTCTACAGTTCAACGTTATATCATCTCTATTCACTTTTCTGTTTGTTCGTGTTCTTTTACTGATGTTGGTGCCAGACATGGAGATCAATATCATTTGTGATGTATGGCTACAAGAATTTCACCAAATTTGGTTTTATGTCCCATGTGATTAATATCACACACAAGTACGCAACACACACAGACAGTGCACGGTGATTTTGAGCACACAGTAGTAGCAGCTCTATACATGGACATGGAAACCAACAGTCTAATCAAAGACAAGGACTTGTTCATGGCAGCGGAGTCCAACGAGATCTCTATTTCAGCAGCTCCTCAAAGCGAGCTCACTCTGAATTCCGAAACGAATATGGCCGCTCTCTCACATGCTGTCATATCGACCTCACAACCCATGGTCCACTCCATCAGTTACCTTCACGGTACAATTGAATTTCAACTGTTTGAACTTCCAATTCTTTTCATTTGTAAAAATTTATGCTTCTTTGTGTTATGATGAGGTCAATTTTGTAGTGTTTTTTTTTCACTTTTTAAGTTTTGGCTCTGTTTGATGGCATGGTGGTTGATGTTGTATTGTGACGTGTTCGATTTGTATTTAGTTTCATCAGTAATTTGTTCATATATGAATTGTGTCTGTGGATGGATTAGGTGGTGGGAAATATATTGGCTGTTGATCCAAAGGTTGTGAATAGTTGCAATAAAGAAGGTTGGGGTCCCTTGCACTCGGCTTGTGGTTGCCCCCATAATTTCCATAAAAAAGAGCCCGACAGCGAGCATCCCGGCCGCACCCCCAGTGCTCTTGTGCCAACAACAGCGATAGCAGCCACCGCCAGAACCTGTCCTCTGAGCAGCTGAACCTCCGGCACCACTTCGCCCCTCCACTTTACTTTTATTGCTCGGTAATTGTTATATTTGTTTCTCTTTTTTATGTGGATGAATTAAGGACTGGTTGACGAAGCTCTTATAACTGCTGTAGGTTTGTGCACGATGCATAGTCAAGCTTCTTATTCTTCATCAGCAAATATGTTCTCCTCTTTCTGTGGCAACATCCTGAGAGAAATTCTACATGAATTATTAGAACACTAAAAAACAGATGGAGCTAATAGTAATGTAAGATGAATAGTTCAAGATTTTAAGGAGAATTTTATAGTTTGCAAGGTCTATCTAGGCATCTTGCAGTTTGTATGCAATAATGCTGACAAGGTGTTGGTGAAAAGAATAATGTTAATGACTTTGTTGCTGCAATGGTAGATGTTGTGAAGAAAGAAGGCTACCAAGTTGACAGCGTTGAGGTCTCGCTGCTGGCTGTAGTTGATAACGCCCAGGCAGTTTGGTCAGTTGGTTTTGTTTGTGGTTTGGTTAATATGATTTGGTTGTCTTTGATGATGTTGGCTTCAAATAAAATATGCTAATTATTTGTTTACTTTTAAAAACAATAATAATGATTTTGAACAGACTCTTGGACTTGGTTGTCTGGATAGCGTCTATATTTTTAAGTATTATGATTTAACAAATGAAGGTTTTTTACAAGTTATATTTGTTTCCGGTCATATATAAAGAGAAGTATGAAAAGATTTCACTTGAAAGCTTAGAACTCAAGGATTTCCTGAAACTGTCAATGGCAAGCCCTTTAGAGAAGTTATTGTAATTTTTATGTCTTTCTCAGGACTTCTATGATGGGAGTTGTGATATAAATTATGTGAGGAATTGTGTGCTTATTCTATCTTCTTTAACGAATTAATCCGTAGAATACTTATGTGAAGTCTAATGAAAGTTCATTCAGAATTTGTTTGATACACACTTTCTAATGCATCAGCAAAAGGACAGAGGTCTCATGAGACCAATGGATGCTATGAGAAGATAAAAGAAGGCACGTCCTTTCTTTTACCTTTCATTACCTTTATTTTCTTGCATGCAGCGAATACCTTTCATAGGATCATATCTCTAATGCATAAAGCCCTCTGTCCTGAGTGAAAATCCTTTGAGTCATTTATAATGATAATCAAAATAACAGTGTAGGAATGTATGTTAGAAATGTTTGTTCTCCATTGGTGTTCAATCCTGTATATTTTGTGTTCCCGTGTAAATCGTTGGATGAACTTATGACGTTACCTCCTTCAAAAGCTGTAGTGGCTCGTGTGAAATTGAATGCCATGTATTTAGTGGAATTCTTCAATTGACTCACAAGATGGTGTGGTTGGTTTCTTAGCTTTCCCAATAGAGAAGGTACACTTCATGCTTACATTCACCGATTATCTACTTACTTGACATTACAGCTTGGTTCTATGTAAATTTTGTTCCTTTCAAATAAAGAGCACCAAATATTGTTTGAACTTCGTTATTCCCAGGTCTATCTGTAAGGTTCATTTGCTTTTCTGGTACCAGGGGTACAAATTGCTAGCGCTATGTCACAAATCTTTGGTATTGGTTCTCTCTTCTATGTTTTGCTCTGCATTTTTTTGTGGTGCATCATGTAGTAGTTAAGTATCTTCTGTTTCTAAAGTGTTTTGGATGTTACTTGTTATACTTTATATTTTTATTTCTTATGTTATTTTTTTTTTTAAATGCATCCCAAAATGGTGTGTGTTATTGTATTTTAGCATATATGATGATGTGTATCCTCTTATTTTGGTAAACCAACATTGATAGTTTGACAGTTTGACCTGATTATATAATTGTACATGTTGATTGTAGGATTTACATGTTGCGGTTGATGAGGAAGATATGTTAACGTTACTGTTGTCGTCAAGGAATTTGATTGTATCAACTTGAAACTGAACCTATTTGTATTCAACATGTCTTTATTGTTAATATGTTGCAGATTCCAGCTAACCTCCTCACATTTATGTACTGTAGGTTGATAATTTCTGGAACGTTTAACTGAAAAACAATTTTCTTTTGTATTCAATATTATCCCTCATGTTAATGTAAATATTGTAGATGTCAAAAATACTTTCTGATTTTGATTGTTAATTAATTTTCCTTCTCTCTCACACTTTCCAGTCAAGCTGCAGAGGTAGAAGTTTTGACCAAGTTTCTTTAAGTATGTTGTTTTAAATACATTAAACTCCATGAATTTTTTAAATCTAAAAATTAATACTCAATTCACGTGACATTAATAATATATAAAATGATATACACTTATAGTGGGCCGGCTGTGCTGTGCACAGCCGAAGGCCGTCTAGTAAATATATAAAAAGATGGCAAGAGCCTCTTTTTCTGACACGTGGCTCTTCAATTCAATTGTGTGAGACCACGTTGCTGACATTAAAACAACGACGTTTTGGAAATTTTTTTTTGGACCGTTGATTTTAGGGATTAAATCACCACCGTTTATCTAAGGCTTTAAATAATATCTTCTCTATTCTAGGCCTCTCGAGCGGCTGAAGTCTCTCACTCTCTCCATATGTTTCTTACCGCTTCTATCCTTTGGTACCGACTTTGATCCCTCCTCCGCCTTCAGTTCATCATGTCGCCCACAAGTAAACGACGTTCACCGGCAGCGAGGCCGGGTCCACCTCCCACGGCGACTACTTATCCTGCCACATATTTTATCATCGGTAAAAGCTTCGTTTGCTCTATCGTCGTCGAAACTCTATTCGAGCCTGGGATGGATTCCCCGGCGGTGCGGTCGAGCAACCGTACTCCCGTTTAGAAAGCTTGCGGTTGGATCTGCGCGAACCGAGTCCAAAGGGGTCTCTCGGTTTTAGGGCGCCTGATTTTGAGGTATGTGTGTTTTGCCCATCCGTTGATTAGAGGATTGCAGTGAAGTGTGGTTTCATTATTTATATATTTAATATTTACTTTTGATGAAACTTGTGTCATACATATTTTTTTTTTTTCTCCTCAAATGCTTAATTTTAGCTTCGGGATCATTTAAATGGGAAGTTGTGGAAACTGAGCGATTTTGGAAAGCACCCAACATTGCTGGTGAGAATCTAAATTCTTGGGTGTTGCTTTATTTTTTTGGTGTATGATGATTTCATTTTTTAACTAGGTGTTGGTTTATTTATTCA